ACGCGACCCAGGCGTCGAAGTGCTGAGGAAAGGGCGAATACACCAGCGAGGAGCATCCTTTCTGCTGTTTTTTTATGTTATGACGTGACGCTTTGTGGGTTTACGGACGGGCGGGTTAAGTTGATGTATAGTGGCCAAGAAGGGGGTGCGGTTGAGAGCATTGAGATTCCGCCGTTGAAACGAAACCTTATTCATGTGGTTGCGCTGAATTGCGTGCCTCTCTCGGAAGGGAAGTGGGCGGTTGCTATTGGCTACAAAGGGTTCTTTGTTGTGCGTAAGGTGGAACTGGGACGGAGTGCTCATCTCCCTATTCTGTTGAGGAAGAGGGCACAACAGCGAGTCATTGAGACGTGCACCGCCGAGTGGTATTCCAGCGGCTCTCTGAGTTCGTTGCAGCTCTCACCTTGTCTGAAATATCTTGCTGTTGGGTTCGACAACGACGCACTTGTTGCCGTTGCTGCGCTCCCTTCGCTGGAGGTGCCTTGTCATGAGTTGAGCGACGGCTCTGAACGAGTCACGATGGATGTCACGTGCCGTTTGGTGGAGGACGGTTGCCTAAACGGCAGCCATCAGGGCCGTGTCTTTTTCATGCCGGAGCGGCTGCCGGGTGGTATGCGCTCTTTTTTTTCAGCGGGCATGAATTTGTCCGACTCGGAGATGGCGATGGGTGCCCACCACCCGCTTTGCTTGTTGGTGTGGGTAAATGGCAACAGCTACACGCGGTGCCCTCTAAAAAGCATTAGCAGAAGCGCCGTGGCACGATTGAACTCCTTTCTTTTCCCAATGCCATCCATTGGAGAGTATCCTGCCACAAAATCCCTCGATGATGCTGCTACTGCTGCCAGTGGTGCCGCTGCATCCGCAGCTTACAAATTAAGGCGTAAGTCAAGGGCGGGTGTGAAGGGCTCAAAACGAAGGCTCCTGGACGTTTCACCCGATGCTGCGACGGCTTCACAGACGCAATCGCCGTTCACCGGTGTGTACAGAGGCTTGCTCTCTGACAGAATTGTTGCGGCGGCTTTGGCGTCGGCGGACGGCAATGTTGTCGCAGTGGGATGCGCTGGCGGTTGTGTATACCTAATTAACGGCCATGGCATTACGTCGATGTTTTTTGCCACAATGTTTCGGACGAAAGCCATGCGTCTAAATTCCTTGTATCCCTCTACTGGACTACAATGTGGAATGGTGCTGCAGGTCGTGGACACGTCGAAAAAGGCTGATGCGTCTGTCACGCTGGCGCATGCGCGAGGCATTCCATCGGCGGCATTTATCAACCAGGCGACGGTGCATTGCTTGCGAGAGGTGGAAGGTTTACAAGCGGTACTTCCACTGAGGGAGCTGCCATGTGTTTTGCTCTTTTGCACCCACGGCATGTATCTCTGGGATGTCCACTACAATTCAGTGGTGGCGTCTCTCAGTGGCTTACCGCCGTTGGAGTCCATTTCTATTTGCGAGACTGTGGTGCGTCGCTCGTTCATTGGCGCGCAACGTCACAGCTCCTCCTTCAAGATCCGGCAGGAATTGCACCCGCCTTTCTGTACGGAGTCGGCCATCGTGTGGTGGACCTCCAGCGAGACCTTGGCACGATTACGCATAAGTGACCTGATTGCACAAGTTTACCCCTTGCTGGAGACATATTTTCGAGGTCTTCCAATGCGATCATTGGCGTATTTACTCGCCCGCATACCACCCACGCAGCGCCATATACCGGAATACATGGCGACTGTTGAGGTCCCCACGGAGCAACAGTTAATGATGGACAGTTATGACATAAATACACCGGCCGCATTTGCTGGTGCTAGCGGGAGCCGTGGCGGTTTTCCCGGCATGAAGGCATTCTCGAAAGACGCGGAGCCTTCCCGCTTTTTTGAACTTTCATGTACCCCACTTTACCCCGAGACCCTTGCGGCATGTTTCCTTGAGACGACGTTCTCCTCCGCGAGTGCGCGGTCGGAGGAATTATTTTTAATGCTTGGCTCCCCACTTTCGCGTGGTTCTTGAGAGAACGACGACATGTAAAAGAGTTGCAATGCGTTGGATGGCAAAACAAATCCGGCAAGTGACTGAGTGAATGATGGCGGCGCGGGGAAATTGACAGACCTCCGAACAAGAAGGAGGCAACTACGCAAGCAGAGATAAACTTCTTGTTATTTTTCTCTTTTGGGGTTTGGCTGAGCTGTCGATGGAGCTTCAGTTTTTTTTTTTTTCTTTTAGTTTCTGTACCTAACTTTTATTGCGTTTTTAAAGTTTTTTTTTTTTTGCTGAGGGAGCGGCAGGTACGTTCGTCACTGCTGGCTACTAAAGGAAGAGGCTTGCAGAGTCCACGGAGCTGTCGTGGCAGTTCTGTGCAAGGGAAGAGCAGAAGTTGGCTGGAGAACGTGTGATGGTTGTTGTTATGTATGTATTTATGTATTTATTTATTTGTTTATTTTTATTTCTTCTTTGCAAGAGGGCACACAGAAGGTTGACTGATGCTGCGGCGCATACCAGACTGGGGCATCCCTATGGTGGCCCACCAGATGGCAGCTGGATGTGGGGGATTCTTCTTGTCTTTTCGTGGGGTTCGTAACACTCGCCATGACAGCTGCAACGACGAGCTGACCAGCAGCCACTTCGACCTGCAGGACATTCCCGTGGACCGCCTGACCCACCGCTACTGGGACGACGTGAACACGCCGTACGACATGTTTCTGCTCGATGAATTTCCTTTTGGGGAGGGCGGCGTGGACACCGCAGAACATATTTTTGAGCGGGATCGCCAGCTGCTTTTGAAGGAGTACCTTTAGGCATGAGGTGGTGGGGCCTCATGTAGACACAGACACGCAGAGGGAGAGGGAGCGAAACTCACAGAGGGTGAAGGCGCACAGGGGTTATAGATACGGAGAAGGGCAAGAACTAGTGTGGATGGGACCGTTCCTGTCTCCTCGCGGTGATCCAGTTTTCTTTTTCACATGCGCATTCTCTCTTTAAAAAAAAAAAAAAAAGAAAAAAAGCACTGGAAACAGAAGGAAAAAACAACAAAAAACAAAAAGCAAAGGGTGTTTTCACAGTTCCCCTCTTTTTGTATTTATATCTTTTTTTCTTTTTTTTCTCGGTGCGCCTTGCAATGTTTTTATCTCTTCGCTTTACACAGTCGCTTTTTTGTATCTTTCACCCTCCAACCCTTTTTTCTCTGCTTTGATGAACACGAAACCAGGGAGTCAAGAAGAAGACGGAAAGAAAAAGGAAAGAATGAAAAAACAGACTTTCCCCGCAAGTGCTGCTGGACAAGAAAGATGATTGGACGAACGCCACTGCAATGGAAAGTGACGACATTAGAAATGTGGCAGTTTGCTTCGGTTGTCTGTTTTTTTTTTTTTTTTTTTTTTTTTTTTTCATGACGTGCCTCGCGTTCAAAGATGCTTCACAGCCGGCTCTTGTTTTGGGCCCGGTGCTTTTGGTCGAAAGTGTGCTGGCGCCATGCGTGGCTTGGGCGGCAATGCTGTGCACCGCCACCAGACCCTGTGGCTACGCGCCATGAGGCGCCACCTTCAAACATATTTGCGGACTTTGATGTGCAGTTTGGTGTGCTGTACGCATTGCAGGGTTAATATGTGCGTCCAGAGGGCTGAGCTACGGTGCCAGAGCCTCCTGCGTGGGTGGTGAGAGCGCGGCGATTGCTGCAATATTTGGCAATTTGTGGCCACGCCGCTGTACGCGACGGCGTTCCGAGTGACGTGAGCATGACGAGCTTGCTCGGGAATGGGGCAGGAGTTCCGTTCCTTTTTTTTTTTTTTTCTCTCTTCTTATTTGCAGCGTCTGTGACTTGTTCTCTTGCGTGGCAGAATTTTGATCACGCCATCGTGTCGTTTGTTCTCCCACCCTCTTTTTAATTTTTGCTTTTTTTTTTTTTAATTTTTTTTTGGACTTATTTTTTATAAATTCTTTTCTTCACATGTTGTGGCTCGCGCTTATTTTGTTTTTACGGGCGGTTTTGTTCTCCAGCGGGGGGAGGAGGAGGAGGGTGGTCGCCATCATCACGAGCGAGTGCCCACGTTTTTGGGCCGCCTGCCTGCCTGCCTCTGCTGCCCACGCACACCTGAAACGTCCTTTTTTTCTTGTCGTCTCCGAGTGTCGCTAGCGGGGTATCAGGTGGAACTGAAATGCTGCGACGGTGGTCGAATTGCGCTGCTGTCTTCTTAGCGGCTACGGCTGTGCACACCACGCAGCGCGAGATGCACGGAAAGCCGACACAGTCGCACAAAGTCCGCACCCAACACAGCCGACGGTGGTGGACACAGTCGAAGGCCCGTCACCTCACAGCAATGCCACACGATGAGTGTAAGTCCCGTCCACACTTCCCTGCCTATAACGAGGATGTAGATCGCCCCATGTTGGTACCGGCCGGTGCAACTTGCTTCAATTGCGAGAAGCCTATTGACGATAGGGACGTCAACAGCTACGTCTGGATCCCAGCTGGAAATGCCACGGTTCCAACGACGCAGGGGTACTTCTTTCACTTCAAATGCTTCAAGTGTTGGAAATGCAAGTACCGTCTAATACACAACAAATTTTACTCCAAGGACGGTAGGGCGTGGTGTGTTGCGTGCGCCCTGGGAAGGGACATTCGCGTGCCCACGCGCCGTTGGCACACTTCCTACGTGAATACACATCGCACAGGCTCTAGAATGTCGGGTCACTTTTTCCCACGGCACCAACATCAGATGGCATTTTTGCTTGATCCTAATGAATAGTGCGCCTTGGACGTATGCATTTGTCTGCACATATATATATATGTTGGACTAATTGCCTCTTGACTTTTCTTCACCTTTATTTGTAGCGCACGTGTGGTGATCATCGCCGTTTATATTGATTCCATCTTCTTTTGGGCTTTTTTTTTGGGCTTTTTCTCTTTCCGTTTCTCTGTGATTTGTGTAAAATTGCTTTATTACGGCGATAACTGAAAGAATTTGATACTTTTCGCCACAACCTTTTGATGCCTTCCTTTTGGTGCGTGAGCCCCTATTGGACTCAACTTCCTCCCCCCTCCCAACAACAATAATAATAATAAGAAACTGAAGCAAGGAGAAATAATTGGAGCAAATAGTCAACGATGGAGTGGTTGAAAATTGCCCTAGTTGCGTTTTCCGGGCGGGGAAATGACGTAGACTACCCGTGCAGCATTCTGGGACGCGTGGCTAACAATGACAAGGAGCTCGTAAATATTCTGCGCAATGGTTTCTTTCTTTTGACGTACCGCATGAATTTTAGCCCGCTTCCCCACTCTTCCGTGACCTCCGACAAGGGCTGGGGCTGCCTGGTGCGATCCTCACAGATGCTGCTCGCCCATGCGCTTTGGCGTTACTCGGCGAATGACTGCAGGCTTGACCACTTTCGTGACATGGACACAGAGGATAGCACCCCCTTCTCGCTCCATAAAATGGTGCGGGCGGTGATGAAGAAGGCCGACGTGTTCAGGCCAGAGTACTGGACACCGAGCCAGGGCTGTGAGGCGATCCGCTGCTGTGTGAACAACGCTGTAGATCGGAAGCTTATCCCTCCTATCCGCGTTGTGGTTTGCTCCCAAGGATGTCTCTTGGCAAGGGAGATTTGTTCCAACTTAGAATTTGGCACTGTGCTCATATTGGCTCCCATGCGTTGTGGTGCCTCACGGCGGATGACGCAGATGATGTTCTTTTCACTCGAACACCTCCTTCACTCTTCGGCATGCATTGGCGTGGTGGGCGGCGTGCCACAACGCAGTTATTATATTCTGGGAACTAGCGGCCAGAGGCTTTTGTACTTAGATCCCCATTGCATGACACAAGAGGCTTTAGTCTCGAGCCACGCAGAGAAGGCTGGTGTTGTGACTGTCACGGCGAGCCTTGTCAAAAGTGTACGGTGGGACTGCGTCGACACGTCTTGTTTTTTAGGATTCCTGGTGGACTCTTTTGCTGAGTGGTTGGAGTTACGAACGTGTCTCGAGGAGTTGCAGAGACGTGGAATGGAGCAGTTGCTTTGCGTGGATGATGGCGTTGCGGTAGGCCTTGTTGACGAGGAGATAGCGGGTTGGCCGAGTGAGGAGGACGTGGCGGAGTAGTCGTGGCCTTCAGTGGCCGAAGGGCGGCAGCGGTAATTTTTTTTTCTTTTTTTTTTTTTTTGCGGCCGCCATCGTTACCGCTGCCGCTACTTTAATCTTCTGCGTGCTGGTGTTTTCTATCGGCAAACTGCCTGTTTTTTTTTTTTTTTCTTGCTGTTTCAGCTTAGCGGTATGACGCCGGAATCCATCTGGAGTGAATTGGGCTGTTGCGACTGTGTTAATTTTCCTTTCAATTTCTTTTGGAGGTGAATGGAAGGCGTTGGGGCATTGCCGAGTAAATTTTTATTGCAGCCTGAGTGTAAGCTATTTCCTTTTTTTCTTTTTTCTGTTTTCTGTGCACGTGCATATGTACACACCCGCATAAACGTATTTGTGGATCCTTGGGAATCAGTGTGTAGTTTAGCTGCGAAGGAAGCGTTGGTGGTGCATGCGGCGCTGCGTGGCGCTTTCATGGCTGCAGTATCGCGGCAGCGTGCGCGATTCACGTGTTTCATGTGGCTGCGTGAAAACAATTCGGCGTTGGTGCCTTTCGCTGCGCATCCCCTCCGTGCAGTTTGCTGCACCCCGCTCCCAGACTCACGAGGACCTTGCGTATGCAGCTTGCCCCATATGTGGTCGTCTTACGCACATGTGTGACATGTTCACACACCTCACAACCGCCCATCGCGAGCTGAACCCGGCGCACTGCAAGAAGATCTGCGGCGAGCGGCTGGAACTCTACCAGCAGGTGATTGGCGTTCCTCTAAAGAAAATGGAGCTCACTACTTCTGGTCGTCGGGTGCTTGACTTCTTGCCCACAGTGTTGCCATCCGGTTATATCTGCAACTGGTGCGATATGAAGAACGATGTGTACCCCACGAGGGATAAATTCCTCAAGCACGTGGCCGACGTGCATACGGAGATTGACCTGGAGGACGTCGAGCAGCACGTCCCGCTGCTGCCACGTGGAGTCGTGGAGGAGAAGAGCAGCACACGGGAGGAGATGCGGCCCACACGGCGTCTGGCTGGTGTTGAGGCCGTTGCCGAAACGTTCACTATTCCGTTCGTTGCCACGCGCCAGGTGGCTGTTTCCATACCGCGTGTCATTGACAAGAAAGTAACACAGCAACCGGTTGTGTTCAGCGACACGGAGTTTCCATGCGAGCTGTGCAACAAGGTCTTCCAGAGCGAGATGGACCTGCTGCAGCATCTGGAGACGCGACACCCAGATGGATCCGCCGGGGCCTCCACTGACGTGGGTCAATCAGCAATTGCCGAGGTGGCGGAGTTTACCGCAAAGGAGGCAACAATGGGTATCAGCCAGCGTGTGCACGTCGTTTGTGACCTCTGCCTGACATCTTCAAAGGTGTACACAATGCCTTCCGCGCTTTTTTCTCACATACGCTTCAAGCACCCTGGCGAAGATGCCGCGTACCATGTGGAGCGCCTCATTCGCACGCAGAAGGGTCAGTCATTTGTATGCAAAGTCTGTAATAAGGCATTTGCTACAGCCGCCGCACTTGAGGGTCACTTTAGCAACAAACATGGAGAGCAAGCGGGTGCATTGTTGGGTCAGGGGCGTGTGGCGATGAATAACTGTTGGTGGTGTCACGACTGCGAACGGGGCTTTTCAAGCGCCAAGGGACTGCACGGCCACATGCAGAACAAACACGGGCTTTCTACACAGGTGCATCCATGCCCCGCATGCAAACGCGTGTTCTCTGATGTGTACTCCCTGGAGGAGCACATCACACTGCTGCACAAGACGATTCACTTGACCGACATTGGGCTGCAGACGCATGCGAAGTGCAACACATGCGATCGTTGCTTTTTGAGTCACGAGGACCTGCACCGTCATGCCGTCAAGCACCACAAAAAAGATCCTCGGGCGCCTATTCGCCCGTTTGAGTCTTCATCCTCCTCTTCACCGGAGGGTAAGGGGGCGGCGAAGACTGATGCGTCTTCTTCTTCCTTGTCGTCTTCGCCCGTGGCCGCGACACCACAGGCCCCACGCAAAGTGAAGAAGCGCAAAAAGACCGCTGTAGAAGAGGAGACAAGTTCGTAGTGGCAGCGTGCCGGAAGGAAAGAAGGAACAGGGGAGATGATGCGAACTAAGCATGTCTGGAGAGAAGAGGCAGCAAACAGAAAAATGATAGCAGTACCTTTTAGAGGAGGAGGGGGGAAGGAAGAGTCGCTGGGGAGCTTTTGTTTTTCTATGATGATGATGATGATTATTATTATTTTGTCTAACGGATACAATTTTACCTGCGGCGTCTTCACAAATATTTTAAACACGTTGGTGTCCGCATTTTTTTTTTTCTCCGCGTTTGCGCGCCGGCAGCAGCGGTGGCGATGAAAACCACCACCACAACTAATACTCATGCGATGCGTTCATCTGATATTTAACCAATTATTATTATTTTTTTAAATTTTGGCTTCCCACCACACCCCTTTTTTTTTTTTTGCTTGGTTCGGTGCTATTGCTGCAGGCAGGCGCCAGTAAATAATTCAGGCGGCTGTGTGCGTGGCGATTGAGAGATTGAGTATACATACAAAGAAAAAAAAGATATATATATATATATATATATATATATACGTGTGATGGGTGAGTGGGGCGATTGCGGGGAAGAGGCGGCACACCTCTGCGCCGTGCAACAGCTCCTCCAGGCCTTTTTGGAGACGCCCTCTCGCGTGGTTCTTCTCAGTGCCGCACTTGGGGAAATGTTGGGTGTGGTCGTTCGCCAACAACAGGCCATAAATAAAATTGTCGCTTCGCTGCAAATAGCAGGGGAGGAACGCATGCAAGAACTCACGGCACTATCACAGAGCGTTGCAGATATTTTGCAGGACACTATTAAACGCACAGCATTGGCCATTAGCGAATTACGAGGGCAAATCCCCAAACAACAGTGCATGTCTGGCGCTGGTTTTTTTTATGAGGAGAAATGCGTTGAGTTAAAGCGCGAGATTGGAGATCTGCGGCGATTGGTAATAGAACGTCTACAGCACGATTCTATGGGAGCAGACATGAATGGACAGAGCAGTGCGATTCAGTCGGAACTTGTGGCTACGGGGGAAAAAGTGCGGAACCTTGGGGCTCAGCAGAGTCTTTTACTGGAACTCCTCGACCTGCGCAAAATGCTGCTTCATCATGGGTACACAGGCGATGCATCGGTGGACCTGCGTCAACTCCGCTTGCTTGACACCACAGCGAAGGTAAAACTGATGCATCAACTGCCATGCTTTCATGTGTTAGTACGTGCGCTCGTGTCGACTGAGTGCCATTTGCTGGCGGGCGCCTCTTCCATGAGCTCAATAGATTGAATAGATGCTACTTGTCCTTGTCTGTGTGTGAAATTGAATACATGTAAATATGATATAATGTGTTGCTGGGGTTGGCTGC